CATCTCATCCAACTTCTCATCATCAACCTCCTTTCCCTGCAAAATTGGCTTTGCCCCAGTTAAGAAAATTCCCTGTTTCTCTCCATCTTAAGATACTTACTTGAAAACAGCATAGGCATAACTTGTAGCTGGAATTATTTTGTCTTATCCTTTGCATCTCCAGTCTGGTCAAGCTGTTTGGTGTTATATCTTGAAATAACTGGCAAAGTCCATGCAGGCAGGCACAAAATGGTGAGTGCTGTGTATGAGTACCCGCACGGTGAGCACTCACATGCAGGCTGCTCCTCTGAAATTGCCAAGTGCTGTGTCTTGGCCCCTAGGATATACCAGCACCGTGCCAGAGGAGAAGGAGAAAAGGAAAAGGCAGCCTACCAAACAGAGACTTAAAACCACTTTGCTCTGGTGGTCCCCAAGCAAATGTGGTTCTGGCAAGGAAGGCAGATAAAACCGATCCCCTGCTCGCGGGCTCCGTTCTGCCGCTGTGGTGTTGCTGCTCTGTAGGCACTTGGTGAGTGATGTGACAGCTTCCCTGACTGAAGTAATTCCAAGTACTGTAACATGAAGTGTCAAGGCAGACAGTAGAAAACATTTCAATCCTTTTCATTAGAACAAAGCGCTGTTCTCCTGACGGCTTTCAAATGCATATTGTTTAGCTATTATGCGCTAACCTTGACTATTATATTCTAAGCACAATAGCGGTGGGAGCTTTCTGCTTTTTTTTCTTAGTGATCATGCTAAGAGGATTTTTCTTTTGCAGGGTCAGTAAAATGTGCAGTTATATCTTCTTTTTTTTTTTGCTGTTATATTTATGTTGCAGTGTCAGTGAGAGGGAAGTCTGAGGTCTCCTCATGTCTCTCCATTTTCAGTGGCTCAGGCAGTTCTAAGTGTGAATTTTTAGCCCAGTGCAGCTTCTACTTCTCTTGACAGAAATCAAAGAATGAGAGTGTATCCTGCCTAGACTGCTCATATGACTAGTGACAAGCTGATGCTAAAGTGGCTGTAATATTAGCTACTGAAAGCCTCAGGCAAGATACAGCAGGTAAATGGTTAATTAAAATGATTCTTCGAGAAGGCCTTTAAGGGAACATAGAGCCGTTCGAAAGCTCTGTGGGGAGTTATGGATGGAAATTGCTGCTCTGTGTTTTCTCTCAGGGATATACAGAGGGCTAGTTACCTTAACAGTTTCTGACATTTCTTCCATCTGACCATGAGGTTCCTGCGATGGGAAGATTAAATTGCTCTTGCAAGAATAAGATGTGACACAGGTGAAGACCCAAAGATAGAGATATAGAGAGGTGTAAGGAGCACATGAAATCTCATGCCAAAGCCTGGACTTTCTCCTAAGACTCAGCTGGGTCATGCATTCAAGAGGGCAGAAGTTCTCCCCATGCTCTCAAAGGGTGAGTTCTGCTTCACAGCCTCTCTTTGCCCAAAGGCCTGATTCTTTTTCTTTGTTTTTTCCCCTTCACCTTTCTCCTGAGCTAACCTTTCTAGTTTTCATCATTCTCATCTAGTTTCCTCATCTGCTGCCCAGCAATCTCATTTTTTCTYATCCTTTGTTCCACTTCCTAAACTCTTTTTTTTCCTAAATGAATGCAATTCCTATCACCATCAAAATCCTCCTTCCTGAGCTCCTCTCCTCCAATCTCTTCCTACCTTCTCCCTTGCACTAGCTCCCACTCCYACTTTTTCCTACCCAAAACTTCATCTCTAAGAGTACCCTTCCCCCTTTGCCATCCCTTCCCCTCCAATGGGTTCAACTCTTCCCTCTCCTCAGTTTGATTTTCCTCCTTTCTCTGTGCCAACTCCTGACAGAGAAGGAGTCACTGATTATATGTCTTCATTGTAATTAAACTGGGCCAGAGCCCATGCACTGGCACTAAGAGCAAGCAACGTAGCCTGGCTCACATCCACACAGCTAAACTCTCTTCCTCCCCTAACAGGATGGCTTTATCCTTTCTGCCTGTTGGGAACAGCCCTTGGCAATTGCTACTCTCTGAACCTCGCCCAGACATAGTTTTTGAGATTACTCCCCAGGACAGGCCAAAACTGTGCCAGGCAGCATGCTAATAATTAAACACTGTGCCCTGTGTTACAGGCCTTGGTGCTGCTCAGTTTGCTAGGAAAGATGCAGCTGAGAGACAAAGTCCTTGTTTTTAGTCCAGTTACAGGCTCACACTGCAGCTACAGGGACCAGGTAAAACTGCCTCAAGCCTAGTGTGGCCCATGCAAGGATGGTAGACTCAGAAATTCTTAGAGTAAATTTCTGAATCTTGCAAACTTAACCTTGGCTAAATATGCGCTCGCTCTCTCTCTCTCTCTCTCTCTCTCTCTCTCTCTCTCTCTCTCTCTCTCTCTCTCTCTCTTTAATCTAGCAAGGGTGTGGGAAGCATGTCCTTGATTAAACTCCTGCCCTCTAACTCCCATCCCCAAACAAAAACTTCCAAACAAGGATTTACTCAGGATTTTTAAATATGAGTAGAAAAACCTTTTCCAATACTTCTTCCCTGCTAGGCCAAGATCCCAAAGTTCAACAGAAAGTGAGCACCCACATGTTAATGTTTAGTTAATGTTTAACAGTTAGTTAATGTTTAATAAAACATGCAACAGCTGAAAGCAAGATTTTATTGTAGACAGTGAGTAAGTGATAGCACCTCTTTCTGATGTGTATAGGTCTGGATATGCATGCAGATTTGGAGGGGTTAGTGCTGGCATAACTCCATTGACAAACCAGATTTACCAGAGATCAGACTGATCCTGTATCCAAAGAAAAATCCTAATGTTTCAAACTTGATTTGGGAATGATGTTTTGAGTCAGAGGTGAAAAGGGAAAGCTGTTGCTGGTCTGCTGGCTGTGTGGCAGAGCACTGACCACTTGGGCCTGGTGATGGACCCAGAGGTGAAGGCATATATATAGTATGAGGCAAATCCTCCATCATCAGTGACTCTGAGATACACCCCTCATTTATTTATATGTCCTGAAAGGATTTGTGATAGTATGGTGCATACGCATCCAGGTGTGCAATATGCCTGGTGCCAGTATGTATGTGTATTTATTAATTGTCAAAATCTAACACCATTACATGTGGAAATGATTAAAGTAAGAAGGTAGGCTATTGCTTTTTCAACCACTTTGGGAGTATTATGTACAGGCAGTAGTAAAAACAATAAATGATAAAGGCATTAGTTAAATCAAATGTTATGTCTGTACTAACCATGCTTATTTGCTGAAGGTTYTGTTTGTCTTTTAAGTCTAAAACTACAGGCAAAAATGTCCATAATTCACCAGCTTACTTTCTTTTCAAATGTATAAATAAGAATTTTTGCAGTTCTGTGCACTAACAGTGTAGGAGAGTCCTGAAAACAGCTTTTCAGTCAGTGTTACCTTGAGTTTTTTTGGACAAAGATTTCAAATCTTGCAGGCAGTAATATGTTTTGCAGTGCTTATTACCTCATACTTCATATAATCACTTCTTGTGAGTGGTGTGTGAGCAGAGATGACTGAAATATGTGGATGACCAAAGTCTTCCTYGTGCTATTCTGCCTCTGACTTCTCTTGCTTTCTTCTCCCAGGCTGCTGCTCTGGAAGTTTACCCTTCCTAGTCCTTCCTAGTGCAATGATTGCTCTGTGTGCAGAAGATTCCTCAGCTCCTGACTGGTTGTATGGTCCAAGGCGAAGCAGATGTCTTCTGTAATCTGYCCCTTTTTGTGCCAGGCTGCACTCCTTAGCGTATCCTCCCTTGTACTGCCTTGTGCAAGGTTGCTTGCTCTTACAGTCTCCTTTTTTCCACCCCCCAGTCAAAAACCTATTGTTTTTGTGTCAAACCAAAACAGATGTTCAAATTCCATGTGTATTGGCATACACTAAGCCCATCCAAGGCAATGCAAAAGCTCTGATGGGCTTACCTTATGTTAGAGGCGTAGCTTAATACTGCTCTTGCACACTGGATGAGAACTGACAGGACTGTCTCGCTGGGAAGATTGGCAGCAGAAGACCATTAATGTTCAGATAAAGAAAGCGTTATCTCCTGGTGTTGCTCAAGTCAAACTGGCAGATTTCCCCTTGACTCCAGCAGAGACGGGAATTGAGCTGAGATGCTTGCCTTTTTATGGTCAGGCATTCCTTTTCAGCTCGGAGATAAAGATTTTTAGAGGAGTGGCTGTCAAGACAGAAAATGGCTCTGAAACCAGCAGCTGTTTTGTCAGATTTGAGTGCAGTGGGACCCATGCATAAAAGCTTGACCAGAGAAGGGGAAGAGGTTTYGGAGCAAGGATCCTACCTGGAGACAAATAGGGCAGAGCAGCCAAAGGGGGAGCCAAGCCACCTGAAGACAGAGAAGCAGTGGACCAAAGGGCTCAACAGATTGTGAAGAACACCCAAATCTGAGACCATGGAGGTCTTCCTGATATGGCACTTGGATGGCTTGGCAGGCTCACAGAATGGTTATTAAAACACTGTCAGCATTTCTGAGAGAGAAAAGTCAGAAGCTGAAATAATGTCTCTAATTAAAGACAGATTCAAATTGGCATCTAAAATTTCTTCAAATAAATGGTGTGTCTGCCGTTGGTTTGCTGCCCTTCAGGCTTCCTCAAAGTCCCCTGTGTGAATGTAAGCTATTTGCTTGTGAGAGACTGTATTTTCTCTAACTTTTGAAATGCTCCAGCTTTTGCAACCTCACACTATTTTGGCAGCATCCCTCCCAATTTCTTTTTCCTCCTGCCCTCTGTGGGTGGAAACTCTGTGGGAAGGATAGGAAGGTAAATACAGCTGAGCAGAAAAGGTTCRGGGTGGCTTTTGACTGGGAAAATTGAGATCTTGTGTTTAAAGCCAAGTGTCCTCAGTTGGACCTAGTTTCAGCTCACTCTCCCCCCTCTACCACACTTGGGAAGGATTTAAGTCTTTCCAATACAAGCACAGGGTGATAGTTGAAGGAGCTTTTGGCTTTCCATAGATTTTGGCTGAAATCTGACCTTTCCTTTCCACAGGAAAAGTGTCCTGGTAGCCTGATTTCTACACCTACCTTTTGATTGAGCTTGAGGAACATTTTCATGACAGAGCAATTCCATCATTATTGGCGATCTCACTGTCTGGTGAAAGCATTTGGCCACRGGGATGACAAAAGGTGTTGTAAGAGGTGTGACTGTTCTCCCTTTTTCTTTTCTTCCCAGTTCCTCCCATCTAGGCAATACTCCCAGTGCTAGCTTGGGCTTTCCCGTGGTGGTGGCACGTGGCCTCTAGAACGGCCAGCTCTGAGGGGCACACATCCAAAGGGCAGCACTGGGTGGTGAAGCAGGCTTGATTCCCAGAGGTAATGAGCCCATGCTCCCACAGTGCTTAATAACAGCTAATTAGCCCCAGCCATCTCCTGAACCGATTAGCACAACTGTCATTTGGATGTTTCCAGGCTTGGAGAAGGGATGGCTGTACACGAGTGACTTTGGTACCTGAGCTTTCCAAAGGACAGGCATGATACACCCAGGCATCATGTTTGACCCTTGGCAACTCAATCCTGACAGCTTGACATTGTTTTTTGTTGAAACACACATAACTGAGGACAGCTGTTCTGGCAACAGGTAGTACTAAGCCTTTAACAGCCAAGAATTTGCACTTGCTTCTTTTCTAATCAAAATGCCTCGTGATTCTTATCTTTCCAAGGTACTCTTGAGTCTTCACTTTGTAGCCAGAATGCTTTGGATGATAGATGACAGGARAATAATGTCAATTTAGGAGAGTAGCTTTGATATCTTCCTTAAAATTCACTTATGGTAAAAATATCTTTTTTTTTTTTTTCTTTTTCTTCAGTAAAATATGTGCTGACTTGTCTTCTTTTCAAATGGAATTTCATTTARGATTTTTGAATTTCTCTGACCTAATTTAAAATGATTTTAAAACATGATTAAAAAGTAGTGGATTCTGGTTTACAGTCTGTGCAGTGTCCTTGTCTTCGGGACAAAAGGATATATATTACTTTCAATGTCATCAGTAGAACAAAATAGCTAACCAGGGATGGGATGTTTCAAGTATTATACAATATTTATAAGATACAAGTGGATGTTTTTATTGCCATGGATATGTTTTTAAAAACTCAGGTTTATCCAACATAACACATCAGCATTCGTTGAACTGTCTCAGGGACTGAATTATGCATGTTATAATATGATGTCATCCTTGTGATGTTTTCTTTTTTTTGTGTATGTGTGTGTAGTTCTCAGAGAAACAACATATGTCATGTAGAATCTGAGGGWGTTACTGGATATAGCAAGCTCAGAAGAAGAATCAGCTTCTCACAAAGCTCAACACATTACTGTTATCACAGGTAACATTGCTCATTTTGCAGAGTATTTAGAAGACCAGCTTTGTAAAAGAAACTCATAACTATTGCTATTTATTCTTGTATTATAATCTCTGTTCCACACCGATGATCATGCTTTATTTATCAGTCAAATTTTGCATTATTAATGGAGAATAAAATTAAAGTTTAATTTCAGAAGAGCAAACTCTCTACTCCTAGCACAGCATTACAGTGTCCCTCTAATTGTCTAATTCACCTTTGCCCTTTGCACAGTATGTGGTTTCTTTTAGTGTTTGAATTTTTTGGTTGTCTCTATTTTTGTTTGTTTGTTTGAATGGACAAAGTCACCTCAAAAGGGCCTTGGTGTCATCTTTCCAGGCTGTGCAAGAGCATGACTGCCTTTTGAAGTCAGCACCTGACAGGGATGGAGTTCCCCAGGTGAAAGGCATGTAATGAAACTGTACTGCAAAGAAAAACTCCTCTGAGAGAGGRATGTAGGGCAATTTTGTCAATATAAAGCTGGAATTCTCCAAGGAGAGCCTGTGAATTAATTATAGTGAAGCTTTGGGCTTTTCCTTCAGTCTCAGGGTCCTCTGGATCATCGTTTCTTTGCCTTGCCTCCCTTGCTCTGTCAGAGACTGCCCCTGTGGTATTCCTCATCCTGAAGCACCCTCAGCTTTCACCTCTTTGCAGTCTCTTTGTGTGGGGTGTGTGAGATGGTGGCCTAGATTTTGTGGGGTAACCATGTCACTAGCAGCACTTATGACCAGAGTCACTAGCAACTCCAGCTGGCAGTTTTCCTCCCTTTCCTTGACCACTCCTGTTGACTTGACACTTATCTAACTGCTCCATGTCTTGGTGATTCCTGTTCTCCATGGCCTTGGGAACAGAGCTGTGGGATTCTAATGCAGAGAGCCTTGATGGCTCTACCTGACCTGGGAGGGGCTGGCTTGTTGTGAGGTTTACACTGAATTAGCTTTCCTGCTCCCCCATCACTTGACCTTCCATTAGAAGGTAACACCCCTGGATCTGAGGCAGGGAGCTCTGGCAGAGAACCTTGGAAATGTCAGCCTAAAAACAGGCTGGATTTTCAGAGTAAGAGCAGGAAAAAAAAAAAAATAGAAGAAAAAGAAAAGAGACAGAAGTTTAAGTTAGGAATCAGAATCCAGTGCTTTGGGAGTTTCAGATTTGTAAAATTGGGGCATTTAGCCAGATGCCAAGGACTGACATTCAAAAAAGGCTAGTGACTTCAGCTGTCTCAATACTGCAGTGACTGAAAATGCAGTAAAGGGAATAARAGAGATTATATAGCAGTGGATGAAAATTAAACAGCTTTAACATGTCTTGAGGCACCTGACATGGGAACAGCCCAAACTTCTAATTACCTGAAAATTTGGATCCACAAGTACATAAGGTAGCTGGGCTTTCCTTTTAGGAAAAAAAAGTCTTAAATATGGAATGATKCAACTGTATTTATCTTAAAAAATGAGAACATTTCCATCTGCTTTTATTTTGCATCCTGGGAAACCTCAAAGACTTTCTTGGTATTTATTTTTATAAATTAATGTATAAAATACCTACATACAGCTATGTAAATATAWAATATTAAACAATGGAGCTGTATGTGTGTGTATACATGTACGTGCACATGTTTTGATGGGTCTGAAACTACTCGTGTATGTGCTAAAAAGCCCTACATTTCAGTCTTGAGCACAGGCTCAGACCTTCAAAAGGACCATTCTGCCAAGAAATCCCATTTTTGAACAAACACGTCAGGGAAATTCACAGATTAGAAGGACAGGAGAGCTCCCCTCCTGCTGGATTCACAGTGGCTAAACACATCTCTGGCTCTGCTGGGAATGTAGCTATTGTCCTACTAACCTAACTGGGAATTGCAGAAATTGCTTGGTGTGCACTTGGATCAGTCCGCAGCACTTTTCCTATTCCAATTACCATATCACTTGCTGGCACACGTATTTTCTTTGGCAGAAACCATCCGTGTCTTGGTGCCTGTAAAAGAAAGCTGGTTAAACACTGGAACTTCTGCACACGCTACATCTTGTGCACAGGATGAACCAAGGCAAATCCTAAATCATCTAGTTGCATTTGGAGTAGTGACAACTCTCCGACATGTGGAAAGGGGCCAGCTACCAGACCAGCTCAGTTTTCCCTGTTTAATCTCTTAAGCATATTTTCAGGCTTAACTGCTTGAGTGGCAGARCCCCCCATCAGCAATTTAAAAACGCAATTATTTTGAAGCCGTTCAGAAAATATTTCTATCTGCAAGATTCTGCCCAGCTACTGCATATTAGAAGTGGTATGAATCATTCTGAAATAGTAATTGATAAGATTTATGACCTTAAAACATTAATAAGAGCATTATATAAGGCATGTACAGTWACTTTCTGGCCAGGGGGACACAGTATTTTAATGAAAGAGTGTTAATTATCACAAAGATGGTGGAAAAATCTTTAGTGGAAAAGAAAAGTTCTATATATAATCAGTTATGCATTATGCCCTTCATTTGGCACAAAAAAAAAATTACTGGATGAATTATAACTCTGTTCAAATCCCCATTGGAAAGGTCACACACTCTTTTTTGTGTCACTGTGCTCTTTTGAGCCACCATAGCTCATAGGAGTATGAGTGGCAGTTCTGTTTCCTCTAATCTTTCTTCTACTACCAGTCTATTTTTCATAAGAACAAACTATTCTGTCTGTAGTTATTGAGTGATATTTAGGGAAAAAAACACCTGTGCTTTGTTGTGTATGTGGTGAGACTTCAAACAGCCTCCACTAGTTATCGTGGCGTCAGAGATCAGAAGGACCCCCTGTGCCTGCTCTTCTCCTCCTTAAGCTTGTCCTGCCTTCAGAAGTGTTTACCTGATCGACACATGCACTTTCCGATGTGTGTTTTGGATGTTCCTTGGCCCCTTCTTTCTAGGTCAAAGCTCCTGAATCCCCCTGCACCAGATCAGGGTCTTGCTGAAGCCAGGGTGACCAGGAATGTTAGCGTGTGCCCATGCGTTCATGGTAGGAGAGCAGAGTTAGTGGTGGGTTTCAGACTTTTGCTTCATCAGGACCTTTACTAGGAACGGAATCTGAACCTTCCTGTTTTAACATTATCAGTCATTTGTGAATTCTTTATAATTTTTTAAATGACTTTTGCAGAGAGCGGTCAGATGCTATTAAAGTTTTACTGAATTAAATTGGAGAAAACAGTTTTGCTCTTAGTATTTTATTTCAGTGTGTAACTTGATTTTTAAGAAGCACTTTGTATTGYCTGGCCATTTGCATTTGCTTTATAAGCATAACATAAAGGTTTCCCTGGAGTCATGGAAAAATTACCTTCTATGTCCCCTATCTAATTAACACCATGTATGTTGCCTAACTCCTTATAATTCACTCTCGTGCACAGTGTATAGGACATGATTGGAAAAATAATTTGAAGCAATGAGAAAAAAATACCTTTTGTCATATATATAATATAGCTAAAAACATTTCCAGTCAAATTAGATTAAAAAAAAAAGACAGTAGCACTAAAATATCTGATGTTGAAAAGGGACAGCAAAGGCTTAATTAAAAAGTGTGCTTATGTTTTTAGAGGCGACTGCATCTAAAGGCTACAAGTGAARCTCTTCCTATTGAGCAGCTCCATGACCTGTCTGTGTTTGGGGCTATAGCTGCCGAGTCCCCTGGCGAGAGCCCTGAGCCTGTGTTCGACGGGTCACAGATGAGCTGCTAAGCCCCTCGTGCATCCCGGTGGCTTGCCCGCTTCCAGGAGGGAAGGCAGCCAGTGCACGGTTAATTGCAGGACTGGGGTCTATCGTGAGGACATAGCCAGATGAGCCTCTGCAATTCAGCAAATCCAAGCATTGCCTCACAGCTGAGGGGATTGTAAGTCTTTAAACCATTCTAACTAGATTGTAAGCGCTGTCTGACTAGGCTGGGGGATTTTTTTCATTCCTTGTTTTTTTTTTTTCTTTTTTTCCTTTTTTTTCTGCCCCCCTCCTTGTGTCCCCGTGGAGCCTGCAGGGCTAATATGATTTAGCAAGAGAGCATGTGTCAGTGGACTCAACTCTTACTCGTACATCAGCCGTGGAACAAAATTCCAAATGAAGAGGTTAACCCCTTACCCTCTGCAGCTTCATTGAAGTTAATCAGATCACGTGTCTGTAAGCCAGGGCACTGCTCAAGGCAAGAGGCTTMATTTTGCACCCTGCATAAATTATACAAGGAGGCAGAGAGCTGAGGCACAGGCAAATAAATGATGTCCAGAAATATCTGGTATCAGCCAAAAGCAGCCTTAGCTCATGCTGTAGAGTTGCTGGCCTTTCTGCAACTTGTCACGGCAGAGCTCTGCCCTTCCCTTCCACCCAGTGCTCCCTTCTGGTGAGATAGACATCCCTCCTTCACCCTCCTCCTGGAGCAGAAGGGTCAGCTCCCACGGGAACCCCTGAGCATCCTGCCATCAGCTTCTGCTTACTGGTGTCTGTCCTTGGGAGAGCCTGTCACTGCTGGTCATCGCTGGTGTTTTAAGGTCAAGTTGTGCCTCCTTACCAATGGAGAAGTGAAAACATAAATACATGACAGAGAGAGTGATCTTTTCTGTTCTTGCACTTTAAAAACAAACATACCCTTTTTATGCTTCTCAGAAGAAGCGGTGTCATTTCTTGAAGGAGAAGGAATGGAGAAGAGGGCTGAGAAGAAAGGCAAGTGAGAAAACAGATGCTTTTGTTTTTTAGAAAAATAAACAAAATAAATATATGTATTTTGACCCCCAAAATGAAAATTTCCATCCTTTTCAGAAATCACTGATTTTCCACTGGAAAGATGTAAGAAAAGAAGCAAATGGAAGTTTCTTGCATGTTGATTGTTTCAGAGAAAGTAAGTAAATGTTATATAAAAATTCTTCCCTGTATTGTTTGGTGCAGCTTCACACCCTGCTGACTTCAGGTCATCAGATTTGTACCAACCACTGATTTGGCCCTGGCCAGGGTAGCGAAAATCTGTGCACCATGAGGTGGCTGAAATTACTCCTTATTAAYGTGCATGGGACCAGAGACTGGCCTGTAGCCCTCGAAAATCAAATCCGGGAAGAAACACTAAATCTGCAAGATTTATAATTTMATTTGGAGAAGTGGACTTCAAAGGAGCCTGAGAGAGGCCTTTAAAACAGGGAAGGGAAGAAGAGACAGTATTTGATGAATTGGTTAGAGTTTGAAAATCAGGTGTGAAGAGTAAACTGGTGGCATAGTCATGACGGTCTGAAGGATAGAGCTCAGGCATTTGGGAGGAAGCAATATGTTCCAAAAAGACTTACTTGGCTTCAACAAAACACAGCTAAAATAAGGATATCTGGTAAAATATAGCATGCTAAAATTAGCAAGGTCATTCTCCCCTAGTGTAAAATCCAGGCATCTTCTCTACAGTCCTAGATGTTTTGTATGTACAGTCTCAGATGAACTTTTACTTAGCATCATGCTTAAAATAGTAGTCCYTTCCGTCCTAGGATTTTTGAATTTCTTCCTTCAGAGGGAATGAAATYGTTCCTGAATCTCCGTTTTTCATTCCATTTCTTTCCTGTCTTATCCAAAAAGCCCTGTCTCCCTTTTTCCTTTTATATTTTCAGATACATAGGATTTAATAGGTCCCTGCTCCCTTTCTGACYCTGACCCTTGTATTTCCTACATGAGGTGTCTGCCTTTGGTGGGTTCATCACAGTGTGATTCACTTGCAAGGCACTGGAAGAGTCTCTGCTGGATCAGAAATGCTGCAGATATTGGACACTCTGAAGAAGTGAAGTGAGTAGTATCAGATGTTTTTTAATTAGGAAATGCATATCTCGTATGCCAAAATGGAGTGGAGAGCGAAATGGATTCACTGGGCACTGAAACACARGCATTGCTTGTTGAAGTATGCTCATTTTTTACTAGGAAAAAAAAAAAAAAAAGATCAGTCTCAAACAGAATTCCTCCCTGCATTAGCCAAATTGCCTATTGCACCGGGTGCATCTCTTGTCAAATCAAATCTTTCCTGTGCTAAACTGCAACTGTCAGTTCTTGAATCGAATATATTAACTATTAAGCTTGTCACCGGAGAAATCACATCAATATTGTATTCCAAATGTATAGAAGTTGTTTACCAATCTCTGAGCTAATAAATAAGATACAGAAAATGCTACAATTTGGGATTACGTTAAATGCACCAAACACCTTTGAAACTGAATTGAGATCCACTTTCTTGGTCTCTGTAAGTGGAGTTTTATTATATGCAGAGAAGCTTTTCCTATCACCTGCTCTTGTAGGGACAGTAGTAAGTTATCCTGTACTGTGATGCTAAGACTTTTTAAATGAGCTTTCATGAACAGAATTCACTCAGAATTGAAATTTTGCATTGAAAACATGTATTATTATGAAATGCAACAAAAACTATACTTCAGTATTTCCCACAGTGTGGGACCAGGATGTAAATGACGATGGACCAGCCAGTGTGAATCAAAACAAATTTAGATTTTCATTTTGGCAGACTCTTTTTGAGTATAAGCTATGACTGTTTTATTTCCAGGCTAAAAGCATCCTGGTTTTCCCAATCTTCTTTAATTTTCCTAATCCGTCCTGGTCTCCTCATCTTCTAGCTCAGGTATGTTTTGTGGCTGTATGGCTGGATTTTCCTTTCATGGAAACAAGCATCTGAATAAGATGGTTGATGTGTACTCAATTCTCTTCAGGACAGATTGAGGAATCGGGATTTTGCATGGACATCCCTGAAGAGAAGTATTACCACATCACTTGCCCTATAAATAGCTTAAATTCCTTGGATTGCTGTCAGCTGTCAGCTGAGGAGCTTCGAAGATAGTTCAGGGATTTCCAGACTCCTATGCAGTGCAGCCTAGTAAACTAGAGAAGAGACTGAGAAAGCCTGGAAGGTAAATTGCCAAGCTGGAAAACTGGGGAGAATGCTGAAATACTGGAAACATTTTAGGGCTGATTCCTCCCTGACTTTGTATACTCTACAGCATGATGACACGATGCCCTATGACAACAAGTTCACACTGGTTTTGGTCTCCCTTTTCAAGGTCATGGGCAGCTGACCAGGAGAGTGGTGTCTTAGGACTTCTCATTTTAATATATATTACCTTGAAAGATTCCCTGAAGAGTTTAGAAAATAATCTAATTCATTTTTAATGTATTGAGGGATTTTGACAATACTTCATCTCCTGCAGGGCTGTGAGAAGTACGAGCAGCCCTATGGAGCTGGTATATTCAGAGGYGGGGGAAGCAGGGGGAGGTCTCTAAGGCTCTGTTACCATTTCTGCTCTGCACATCTGTAAAGCTGGTCCGGTGTATGTGATGTCGCTTTGGCCTGTTTCACAGAGCGGTCAGACTGGCTAACCTTAAACCCTGTGAATATTGTGAAAGTAATAAGTGAGGCAATGAGCAGATCTATTCACCTGGTTTCTGGCACCCTAAATTTTGGTGGGGAAGTTCTGATTTCTGAAAAAAAAATGTGTTTTTTTTTGTTGTTTTGAAGGGCTTCTGTTCTGTTGTTTGGGTTGCAAAATGGGTCGCAAAATGGGTCGCAAAATGAATGCCTAAATTCGGGGAGTTCAGGATTCCGGATATCAGGGTTTTGGTATACTGGAGATAGTTGCAAGTATTTGGCACCTTTCTAATGCAGATCCACAGACAGCTGCTCAGCTGTGCACAGTCAGCAAGAGCCCCTGCTGCAGTCGGGAGCTGGGCTCAAACATACAGTTGGGCAGGGGCTCAGTTGGAGTGGGGTTTAATTCCTTGAGCTGACATGGCTTTCCTGTGTAATTCTTGGCAGGTCACCAGATCTCCCTGGGCCTCATTCGCTGTCTGCAAAATCACACCTCTGTGACCCACGGCCTCTCGGGAGAGCTGGGGAGAGGCCATCCATTACYCTGTGTTTATAAACTGGGGTCTTTCCTCTTGGACAAGGCCCCCAGACAATCTCATAACACCAATCGCGAGATAAAGCAGGAAGATTATCTTAAATAGTCTGGCAGATGTTGGAAAGGCTCCAGCCACGGAGCGGTTGGGAGGTATAATGCAAGCTGCTTATTCAACGCTGAAAAGGCTCACTGTCCTTTTGTAGCTCACCCCTTGTGAACAATCCGTGATTTATTTATTGAGGAACAGTTTCTGAGTCACCTTCTTCTCCACATTGTGAAAACACTGAGAAAGTGAGTCATTTGGAGGAACACAGCCCACAGCGCTCAGTTCTCACCCTATTTCCTGGAACAGGAGGGGAAGGGAGAGCCCAGCAGGTGGGCTTGGAAGAGAGTGAGAGCTTTCTTCTCTCCAAGACTTTTTGTCTGACCTTGGGAAAGTCTCATAGCCCCTTTAGGGTCTAGTCCATAAACTGGGGCTTATGGCCCAGCCTTGCCCAGAGGGGTGTTTTTTACAGGAAAAGGCCATTACGGATGTGAGACTGTCAGCTTGTTTGATAACAGGAGCCTTTCAGGAGCCTTGGACAGGGAGAGTATGAGAAGTGCAGATGCAGTAACTGACTCCAGATATGTAAAAAGTGGCTGCAGTGATAGATGGAGTAATTGGCTCTCCGTGTCTGCAGTGACTAGGAAATAAAGCCGTGTACTAGAGTTATAGCAAGGGAGGRCATAGGTTAAGAGTTAGGAAAAACCTGCTGGAAGTGTAAAATGCAGGAATTGATTCTCCAGGGGAAGGGTGGACTCTCCAGCCCTGGGATTTTGACTCTGGTTACGCACATCTGTTTGGGGTGGTTCAGGTGGAGCTGCTTCAGGCTGCTTTTTATTCTGGCTGTATCCAGAAAAGAGTTGACAGCATTCCCTGACAGCATAGGCTGGCCTCTGGCAGGTCCATCCACCTCTGATGGTCTCAGCAGGTCAAAACGCAAAGAAGAAAAATATTGAATTTGACTAATTTTTTGATTTGCTCAGTTCTGTCCTACTGTTCTTTYACATCTTTCCTTCTACCAGTGTCACAGACAAGAAAGCCTCATACTCTCCCCCATGTCTGTAAAATCTGTTTCTGCCTCCATCCATTCATCAAAAGCCTCCTTTGATGCTGATATTTTTCCTCGCTACTTTCTGGTCCATCTCCAGTTGCAGGACTACCTCCACCCTTCAGGTATCACGTAGCTGTTGTTGGCTGCCCACATTTGCTAATGAAGGCGCTTGATAATGCTTGGCCTTTCCTCTCCTCTTGTAGCTGTTGGCATGTTCATTGAAGTATTCAGGCTTTGGAAGAGGCACTAGCAAGGAATCTTTCCTGGAGTCTTTCTGAAGCTTTATTCTAGGAGATGGGAGCTCTCTGCTAATGAATGTACAGAGAGCACAGACCAGAGATGAAAGTTCACCTCTGTGGCTTTCTTAGAATATTTGCTTACTCTGATGCACAGTCAGCCATCACGGTAGAGGAAGAGGCTTGTAGAAGGCTGTGTGATAGTTCCTGCATGATCAACAACATCTTTTAAGAGAGCAAGTGAAACTCAAGGATGTATAAAGAATGGAGTAGAAAGCAGCCCTTAGGATACAACCCTGAGAGTGGTTTACAGTTTCACAGATTTCAGTGGTACTGACATTTCTACTTCAGCAAGGGCATGAAGGAAAGTGCCTTTCAGGAAGATAGGAGAAGAGCATCTCTTTTTCAGTCTAAGTAAAATGGTATCAGGGGTGTTCACTGCCTCTGTCACTGCATCAGCCACATATGAAGTTGGTGGGTTGAAGAGCTCTTGGATGACTACATGGACAAAATGGTGTAAGMTGGCCTATAGTCAGACTTAATCTTGCTCTTAGAAGGTAGCGGTTTCCAGCTGTTATAGCTGAAAAAATGCAAGGGCAAAGACTGCAAACTAGTTCTAAGATGGTGCTTGATAGATTTTGAATAACCTCTTAGTAGTCCTACATTTCTGAAAAGATATGGGAGARAAAGAATGAGAGTGGCTAAAAGAAATGCTGAGACACAGCAAACTGTCTTTGAAAAAAGGCTTAAGCTTGGTAGAAGTGTGGGAAGAGAGAAATGGGAGGCAGCCTTCTAAAAGTAAAAAATAAAAAATCCAGCAAAAAAAAAATCCTCCTCTTTATCAAATGACACCAAAAGTGTAAATGGGGTTTGCTGCTTCCACTTCTCCACAGGCAAGAACATCCTGTTCCTCTAGCACTGAAAGGYGCTGCATGGCCAGCGTCTCTGCTCGGACCCTCGGAGATGCGGTGCACAAGTAACCTGTGGGAAATTGCAGCCATTAGGCAGCCCCGAGTCACAGAGTCTGGCAGGAAGGATTAGAAGTCGATAGGGCCGGTGAGAGCAGCTGTGGTTATATACGAACGGATAAAAATAAGCGTTATAAACGCGCATGCTTCCAGGCACAGACAGCCTCAAACTCCTCAGGGCTAGGAAACTTCCCTTATAAATAGGTTATTCCATTACTCTCTGTGGCATTAGCTACTGTCAGACACAGGATACTGGACTAGATGGGCCCCTGGCAATTCCTCTGGAGAAACTGGATTTCCAAAATAAAGACCCTAAAAAAATCCCTATAACAAAGAAGAAATTATTGAGTTGTTTATTAAATAAATTAATTTGAATAGGGAGAACAGCAGCTCCTTTGTTTCGCCCTCAGTTTGAACAGTGGGKCTTGGAAGGGAAAATGAAACCAC